CTTTTGCTGGGAAGCTACAACTCATCACTTTAGTAATACAAGGCATCACCAATTTTTGGTGTTCTATCTTTATTTTACCAAAGGCAATTATAAAAGAGGTAGTAATATAAGGCATCACCAATTTTTGATGTTTTATCTTTATTTTATCGAAGGCAATTATAAAACAGGTGGAAAAAATTTGCAGTGCCTTCTTATGGAACAATTTTACTCATAGTACTTGTGGGGCCAAGGTTGATTGGCTCATAGTTTGCTCTCCAAAACAAGAAGGTGGTTTTGGCCTCAAGAGCCTAGTTCTGTGGACTCAAACTTGCATTCATAAGTTTATTTGGTTGTTGTTCTCTAAAGCTGGATCAATTAGGGTAGCCTGGATAAATGAGTATCTTATCAAGGACAAAAGCTTTTGGACACTTAATATACCAATAGATGCGTCTTGGGGTTGGAGGAAAATCCTCAAGCTTAGACCCTAGCAAGGAGACTTTTACAATACATTCCAGGAATGGCACAAATATCTATATTCGGCATGATTCCTAACACCCTTCTAGACCTTTAATTGAAGCGTATGGTAGTAGCATTGTTAGAGATGCCGGTATCTCATTTCAGGCAAAGCTAGCAAGACAACTTGAATAAGCTCATGATACGTTAGAAGAGATTCGTATTTTGTTACTTGAAGATTGTTTTCATCAAAATCAGTATTCTCGTCAATCCTTCATTTAAGAAATGGATGACCTAATTAAAGAAAGATATCCTGGTGATCGCATGTACATGTTGATACTCTTGACGTGGTCTCTGATGAATTTTGAATAAAAAAATACAATAACCCATTGCCTCGATAAGAATTTGAATCACATTATAGACTTAACTTGAAGCTTGACCATAATTTTCACTACCAGATCTTCATGGACATGCTTTTGTATTTTTGCTATCTTTATATCTAATTTAGCCAAAGAGCAAAAAAGAATTAGTATCTTGTATACAAGAAACCGAGAAATTTTTTTCCCAATTGCTTATGATTAAACAAGTGTTCTTAAGCAAAACTTCTATAAAAACCATATATATATATAGTTAAGCAAAACAAATTCTAATCTAAGATTGTGTTTGTAGCTTTAAGAGGTAATGTAATTGATTAAAAATTTGAAATTTTAAATGAGAGATTTTAAATTTAACCCTTTGAATTTTGAATTTGAGTCAAGTGAGATGGATTTGAGAAGAAGGGATGCATAAGGTGTACCAAAAAAATTGTGTTTGTAAAAAAAAAAAATCAAAACAAAATACAAAATGTAGTTAAAAGAAAATTCTTTAATACCATTAGAATTACAATTTGAGTTTAAAAGGTATTAAAAAATGTACCTTTTGAGATTATTTAGAGTTGACGAGGACGAGGAAATGCGATGATGAGAAGCTTTTGAACCGCCACCTTCTTGCTATGGAATTTCAGATTAGTTTTGGCACTAAACAATTTCTTTGTTTTGCAATGGTTAATTGTTAATTTTGATCCATCAACTTTAAAATTTACCTAATTTTCATTCTTTATCTTTTGCATGTATTTTTTTAGTCCTTTAACTATGAAAAATGCACTTTTCTAATTTTTATGTCAATTAATCTATTAAATTTATTTAAATATACACATTTTTAATTCCTCAACTTTAAGTTGAAAGATGAAAATTATGCATATATTAGAAGTTGAGGGATTGAAAATGTGCAAATTCAAAAAAATTTAATGGACTAACTGATGGAATAACTAAAAAAATGCATTTTTTATAGTTAAAGGACAAAAAAAGTGCATAAAAAAGTTAATAAATGAAAATTATGTAAAATTTTAAAGTTGAGGGATTAAATTGACATTTAACCTTTTGCGATATGGACTGCTAGCAAATGGGCCATGTTGAACTGGAGTTGGGCGGGCACTGGGCAGAAATGTCAGCCCAAAAGATCACTTACAAATCAATTTCTTCATTTTGTGATATGGACTGGTACTAAAACAGGCCATATAGAACTGGAGTTGGGTTGGGTGGGCACGTCAGCCCAAAAGAAAAAATTCCGACTGTTGGCTACTTTGTCTATAACTTTCTGTCTTTTTATTAAAAAAAAAGTAATTTTTTTTAATTTTTTTCACATTAAAATTTGTAGAAAATTCTCTCAGAATTATCGTGATTAATTAACGTACATTCCCTAGAATATTAGCGATTTACAAGGGAGTTTTTTAGTTTTTATGCCGGGTCTATTTAATAAGTGGGATAATTAAATCAAATTGAATGGAGTACATATTGGATTTATCTCAATATTACAAATGTCTAAAAACTTTGATTTTGATTTCAATCAGGAATTTATTGTTTAGAAATTATATATTTGTAATGTTATTTGATATTATTGGTCTGAGTGAAAAGAATTTTATTTTTCTTAAATAAAATTTTGAATTTAAATATTCTGAATGAAGAAACAGACATTGAGCAAGTTTCCTCTTAAATTAGATCTGATACGATTTGATTTCGAATTAATCAGATCTAATACGATTACCGCATATTAAAAGGTTAATACAAAAAGAAATTATAATAATAATAATGTTATTTGATATTATTGGTCTGAGTAAAAAGAATTTTATTTTTCTTAAATAAAATCTTGAATTCGAATCTCCTAAACGAAGAAATAGACATTGAAAAAGTTTCCTCTTGGATGAGATCCGACACGATTTGATTTCGAATTAGTTAAGATCTAATACGATTAACGCATATCGAAAAATTAATACAAAAAGAAATTATAGTAATAATAATGTTATTTGATATTTTAAACTTATAATAATGATTTATTATAATATGACTTATTAAGATATATTAATTTTTTATTCAGAAACTTACTAGTAATACTATACATCCTCCGATGAATTTAACTATTATACTTTCTAAACAGGAGTAGTTTGATTTAGTTATTCCCCTTTTCATCTTAATAACACATTAAATACTAATATTTTAATTTTATTATTATCTCAAAAGAGCATTAAGGGTGAAAATGAAAATATCAGTCCTAATTACTATAATAAATAAATTTCTCAAAAATGAATAAAATGGGACTATTGAATCTAATATGAGAAAAAATATATTTTTTAATATTTATTTAATAACATATTATAATTGTATAACTTTATTAACATACAAAAAAATTATTACATTTTTAAGAAAAAAATAACATCTAATGTTGTAAAAAGCGTGCTTAGGCTCTAAGCGGTGTCATTTCCCTTGCATCAACTTAGACTTTAAATAATGTCATTCTACCCGTAGAAATTCAATATGGTTTGCACTACATAAATCAATTAAGTACATTCAGGCACTATTAGGCATGCTTAATGACACTTAAAATGCTTGAGTAAATGTTTTTTATTAATTTTTTAGCTTAATGAAATGATGTCATTTAATTTATTATAAAAATTATATTAAAAAAATTAAATACCAAGTAATTTCTTTAAATTCTGCTCTTTAGACTTAATAATAAAAAATAAACAAATGTTTAATTTTTTTATTTATTTTATAATTTTTAAAATTATTTTATATTTTTTTATTTTCTTAAAATTATATCAAAATATTATTATTAAAAAAAGTCACATAGGCCGCCTAAGCACCACCTATGCACTCTAGGTTCTAGGGTGTGGGCAACCACCTATCATTGACTGCTTTCTGCTACCTGGGTAACATCCAAAACTCAAGTAACCCAATG